GTACCCAATATTTGTGGGAAAAGGGTGAAGTGAAGAGGGGAAAGGCGAGGAATCGGAAATCACATGCATGTGTATCTTTCACATCAGTGTCTGTTACAGTTTCGACAAGAGGAATGCTAGCCTTGAGTAAGTGGAAACTGTGTTCTAACAATCGTGTTAACACAATGTTAATCATCAGAGAAACTTGGGGAGGAAGTGACATAGTGGTAATGTCATTGACTAGCAATCCAGAAGCTAACACCGAAACTGGTGTAAATCCCTGAAGGAATTTCAAGTCAAGTCTGGGATTAAATGGCAGTCTTCATAATGGTGGTGAAACCATTTTCATTGTCATTAAACTGCACCTAGCTCATTAATGTCCTTCAGGTGCATCTTACTTGGCCGACATTTGAATCCAGACACAGCCATATTAGTGACTCACAAGTGCTCTCTCTGAAACAGTAAAGTAAATCCACTCAGCTGCAAACCATGGGAAAAATCTCTCAATGGAAGGAAACTGGGCAGATCAACCGGCCTGACCCATGCAGGCACTGAAAACAGCAGCGCACACACAACCCTATTGACCCTGCCATTAGTGAGCTAGACAAGGTTTTATAACAAATCGATGATAGTTTCATGGTCAGAGATGAGCTTTCACTTAAACTAATTCCACCAGCTTTCATGGAGGAGTTTGAACATGTGCCAGAGCATTAGGCCAGGCTTGAGATAACTAATGCCCTGATATGACAACCAAGCCATGATCTCCTCTTGACAAAATTAAAGGCACCAAATACTGCAAAGGCCTCGGGACCCTGACAGCATTCCGAAAATACTACTGGAAAATAGTATGAACATAAGAAACAGGAGCAGGAGGCGGCCATGTGGCCCATCAAGTTTGATCTGCCTTTCAGTAAGATCATGGCTGATCTTTTCATTGACTCAGCTCTGCTCACCATAACCCTTAATTCCTTTACTACTGAAAAACCTATCTTTGCCTTAAAATGTTACTCTAGTACAACGAGAACGCCTATAAAATTGCTCAGATATGCCCAATGCATAAAAAGCAGGACAAATCCAAACCAGCCAATTACTGCCCCAATCTAATTTTGGATATCACCAAACATAGTTGATAACGCTAGCAATAATCTTACTGATACTCACTTTGGGTTCTGCAGGAGCCACTCAGCTCCTGGCCATATTACAGCCTTGGTTCAAACATAGACAAAAGCGCTCAAATCCAGGGATGGAGTGAGCGTGACTGCCCTTGATATCAAGCAGCATTTGATAGAATATGGTATCAAAGAGCCCAAGTAAGACTGGAGTCAACGTTCATACAGGATGGACTAAGTCCGAATAAATATTATCTTGGATCGGAAGTTGTAACATCTATGGGTGGGGGTAAGAAATAAGAAAGGGAAGGAGACACTGATGAGCGTAGTCTGTAGGACCCCTAATATTAGCTACACAATATAACAGCATTGTCCTTAAAAGAATGCATTACACATTCTTGAAAGCAGTAATATGCACCATAGGTAAAAGGAGAACCAGTGGATATATTTTTACATTTCCAGAGGGCATCTGATAAGATGTCAAAAGGTTAATGCAGAAAATAAAATCTCACGGTGCAAGGGGTAACACATGGAAATGGATAGAAGATTGTTTTCCTGTTAGTGAGTCAATAGGAATAAGTGGGTCTTTCAGGATGTCATGAGCGGTGTGCCACAGGGGTCAGTGCAGGGGCCTCAGCTCTTGACAATTTATTTAAATAATTTGGATGAAGGGAACCAAGATAACAGGAGCTAAATTTGACGACACGAATACAGGTAGGAAGGTGAGTTGAGGGCATAAGGAGCCTACAAAGGGATATCAAGGGTTAAGGGAGTGGGCAAAGATCTGACAAATGGAAGACAATTAGAAGAGTGTGAAATGATCCATTTTGGCAGAAAGAATAAAGAAAGCAAATCATCTGAATGGTGGGAGGTTAAAGAGCTCTGAGATGCAGAGAGGTTTGGGTATCCTCAATAATGAATCACAGAAGGTTAATATGCAGCTACAGCAAGTGATCAGGAAAGCTAACAGAATGGATATGGTTTATTGTGGGGGAATTTGAATGCAAAAAGTCAAGAGGTTATGCTTCAGTTATACAGGGCATTGGTGAGACCACATTTGGAGTACTGTGTACAGTACTAGTCATCACACTTACAAAAGGGCATTAATACATTGGAAGCAGTTCAGAGAAGGCTTACTGGACTATTATCTGGAATGAGTGAATTATCTTGAAGAAAGGCTAGACCTGTATTCTTTGGCGTTTGGAAAAAAAAAGGTGACTTCATTGTAACATACAAGGTCCTCAGGGGGCTTGACCAGGTGGATGTTTAAACAATGTCCCACAAGAGGAAGCAATCTGGAACAGAGGGTTAGAGTTTAAAAATAAGGGAAAGCTTTTGAAAACAGATGAAGAAACATCTCTTTTGTGAGAAAGCTGAGTGCCTTTTGAATTCCCTTCCTCAAAAGACAGTAGTTGCAGAATCTTTAAATACTTTTCAAGCAGCAGTAGACTGATACTTGACTAACAGGAGGATTGCCAGGATATACAGGAATGTAGAGGTGAGGTGAAAATCAGATCAGCCATAATCTTATTAAATGGTGCTGTTCAAAGGGCCAAGTGGTTGATGCTTGTTCTTTGTTCGCATACTTGCATGACAGTCCCTCGAACAGTGTGTTGTGGACTAATGAGTGCTCAGGCTAGTTTGGATCTGGTAAGGTGTAATAAAGGTTGAATAGATTATCTTAAAATAATCTGGTCCAGGCTTTCTGTCAATGGAGATCTAAAAAGAGGTAATTGGGAATTCTGTGTACTTCCCAGAGTTAAAAGTTAAAGATCTTGGAAACAGGTAGTATGAGATTTCCAACGTGCTATCCCTATGAGGCATAACATGTCAATATTCTTGGATGCATCTCACCTGGTCCTGCTGTATCATCAAATTTATATACCAACAGTTTATTCAATAACATTCAACATCCGATGCCAGGCAATGACAATCTCCATCAAAAGAGGATCTTCACATTACCCCATGACACTTAATTGCATCACTTTCACTGAATCCCCACAATCAACACCCGAGGGTTAATACTGATCAGAAACTGAACTGGACCAGCCATATAAATACAGTGGCTACAATGCCCAAAATAATGTCCTCCAGTCAGGCGTCAGGCATCTGAAGGAATACTCCCCAATTGCTTGGATGGGTGCGCCTGCAACATCACCAGAAATGTACCACCATTGAAGACAATGCAACCTGCTTTATTGTCACTTCCTCTACCAGCCTCAAAATTCCCTCAAAGAAAGTTTACAATATATTAGTACTTGGCAACTTATATTCTGAAGTAGAGGCAAAAGGTTTTTTGTTTCCAGTGCTGCGAATGGGCTTTTTTCTAAGAATCAGAAATTGCCCACAGTGTGTCGGGATATGCAAGTTAGCTGGATTATCCATGGGAAATGCAGGGTTATGGCTACAGGGTATGGTGGGTCAGGATGGGATGCTCTTCGGAGGGGCGGTGTGATGGGCCGAATGGTATGCTTCCACACATATTGAAACACTGATTTGTGGAGGCGATGGCCTTGTGGTTATTATCACTGGACTGTTAATCCAGAGACCCAGATAACATTCTGGGGACCCAGGTTTGAATCCCACCACAGCAGATGGTGGAACTTGAATTCAATAAAAATATCTGGAATTAAGAATCTAATGATGCCCATGAAACCATTGCTGATTGTTGAAAAAACCCATCTGGTTCACTGATGTCCTTTAGGGAAGGAAACTGCCATCCTTACCTGGTTGGGCCTACATGTGACTCCAGACCCACAGCAATGTGGTTGACTCTCAAAATGCCCCCTGGTCAATTAGGAATGGGCAATGAATGATGCCTAGCCAGCAACACCCTCATCCCATTAATGAATTAAAAAACATTCATTTCACTGCATGAACTAGTAGAGATTCAAAGCACGAGCAACTGATTATAAGGCACAGAATGACACTGAGCCCAGCTGCCACATGCTTCAAGCTGACAATTTCCTCACAGTGGTGGGTACTGCAGCAATCACCCAAGTACAAATAATATAGATCCATAATAGACCAAAACCTATTCTAACAAAGGGAACCAGTCATGCAGCAATACAGAAGAGAACAAAATACTGATTTAGAGAGATTAGGTTCTGCCATAAAAATGATTGCATTAGACATTTAAAACATCAAACCTGTCACGGTCACACCTGGTTAATGAGTGCCACTTTAAAATACTGATGCTGACTGATGGACAGAATTTGAGTTTAAAAATCCAGATTTTAAAAAACAAACACAGTTAAAAAGCTTTGGTCTTTGCATTATGTCAATTTATACAGAGTCAATGATGTGCCAAGGCTACAACCTACCAGACCATCCTGATTCATAATTGTTTTTTGAAACTTAATTGATATTGTGCCTTCTGGGTGAACACACTGCATCAGAGAAACAAAGCGTATGGATTTCAAGGACTCAAACACTGTGGAGGATTTCTTTTGCTTGTGACTCAAAAGGACAATACTTCTCATTAAATTTTGCTGCTAAATTGTTTCCTCATTAAAAGTAATGTATCACAGCCAAACTCCTGCCAATTTAGCATTTTACATTAGGGGAGAATTAATACCAGTATTACCATAGCTAGTTTGGCAAGCATTAATTGGAAAAAACCTCAGTCTGAAACATAAACATTTGCATGGATAGAATCGAGTAAGGCTGCTGTAGAATAAATTCTCTGTTCATGAGAATGCTAGTCTGTACTGCATGAAATGATGCATCTTTACAAAGAGGATTAAACTTGCTCAACCATAACCAAAACCCAAATTAGCAGAGAGCAGTATCGTAGCATTGTGGTTATTCCACTAGACAATGATGACTTATGAAGCGAAGGAAGACAAATTCAGATCCCACGATGGCAGTTTGAGAATCGGAAGAAATTCTAAAGCTAGGAATTAAGACGAGTTAAAAAAAATTGACCATGCAGTTAAATACATCACAATGTGCTGCCATCTTACCTGTGAACAGGAAAAAAATCAAGACCATGATAAGTGTGTATCCAAAGTATAGTATTGTGCTTGCTGCACCCGAGATCTGAAGCTTGGAGAAGAAGTAATGAACAGCATAGACAAAGAAGTAAACAGCTGTAAAGCCACTCGTCAGGAATGATCGCCACCACCAGTGGTAATCCTACAAAAAGGAACAACACAAAATTAAAACATTAGCTAAAGAACACCAGGACATAAAATGTGTTGCACTTAACTAGGGTAGAATTTTAATAAGATTAGAGAGTCAATGGGTAGAATCTTAGAATCCCTACAGCATAGAAATAGGCCATTTGGCCCATCGAGTTCACACCGACCCTCTGAAGAGCATCCCACCCAGACCCACTGTCCTATAACCCTGCATTTCCCATGGCTAACCCACCTAGCCTGCACATCTGTGGATGCTATGAGCAATTTTAGCATGACCAATCCACCCTAACCTGCACATCTTTGCACTGTGGGAGGAAACCCACACAGACAGTCACCAGAGGCTAGAATCGAACCTGGGTCCCTGATCTTGTGAGGCAGCAGTGCTAACCACTGAGCTGCTCAAGTTTTGAGGGTTTTGCCCCTTGGGTCAGGACCCTGGTACGAGCCAAACAAGGTCCAGACATGATAATGGGTGGGGAGAGTTATGTGGCAACATTTTATCCTGATTGGTCAATTAAAAGGTCAGCAAGTGGAATCATGTCCTACTAAGCCGAAGCAAGCTCTTTGAGGTGGCATTTTAATGGGACATTGGAAAAGCAGAAGCCAACAGTTCAGGTAGGAGTTGGGGTGGGCGGCAGCCCGAGAGCAGTGTGTGTAGGTGTGTGTGTGTGTGGGTGTGTAGAGAGAGAGAACACACACAAGGCAATGAGGAGTCCTTTCTTCAATATTTTAAACTTTTAAACTTAAATTGCCTCAAGGGCTGAACCATCATCGAGAGGGGGACAGATTAAGCTTTTCATGTACCTATGGTCTGCTCTGCCAGGAGGCTATTGGCCTAGCAATAAAGTCAGCAACTGGGGGAGTGCGGTTTGACCAACTAGAGTCAGAGTAATACAGCATGGAAACAGGCCCTTCGGCCCAGACGAGTCCATGCTGACCATGGTGCCCACACAGCTAGTTCTAATTGACTGCATTTGGTCCATTTGGCTCTTAAACCCTTCCTATCCATGTACCTGTTTAAATGTTGCTATTGTACCTGCCTCAACACTCTCTCTGGCAGCTCACTCCATATACACACCACTCTCTGCATGAAGGAAGCTGCCCCTCAGGTCCTCCTTAAGTCTTTCCCCTCTCACCTCAAACCTTAGCCCTCTAGTTCTCAATTCCCCATACTTGGGAAAGAGATTATATGCATTCATCCTATCTATGCCCTTCATGAATTTATACACCTCAATAAGGTCACACCTCATTCTCCTACACTCCAAGGAATAGTCCTATCCTGGCCAACTTCTCCCTGTAACTCCGGTTTATTAGTCCTGGCAACATCCTTGTAAATCTTCTTTGCACACCTTCCAGTTTAACTATGTCTTTCCTTATAACAAGGTGACCAAAACTGTACATAATACTCCAAGTGCAGCCTCAACAACTTATACAACTGTAACATAACATTCCAACTCCTACACTCCAAAAGGTTTCAATCTGTCATTTGGCCTCAGAGTGCGAGGACAAGAAGCAACCAAGGATAATTCTGGGAGAAATCGACTTGCTCATCATGACTAAAAACAGGATCATGGAAGACCTGGTGTCAAAGAACAACAAGGTTGTTGCAGCAGGTGACTTTAACTTCCAACATTGACTAGGACTCCCACAGTACCAGGGGATTAGATGGGTCAGATGGTGTTAGGTTCTTGAAACAATATGTAGATAGCCCAACAAGGGAAGGGGCTATACGAGACCTTGTATTAGGGAATGAACCTGGCTAGTTTATTGAACTTTTAGTGGGGAAGCATTTTGGAAAGTGATCACAATTCTTTAGGTTTTAAGATAGTTATGGATAAGGATAAGACTGGTCATCAGGTGAAAGTGCCAAAGTGGAGGAAGTATTAGGCAGAAACTGGAGAACTTAAAGATTTGGGGCAGCTGTTTGAGGGTAAATCCCCATCTGACATGTGAGAATCTTTTAAAAGGTCAGTCAGAGTTCAGGACCAGCATATAACTATAAGGATGCAAGATAAGAATGGCAAGATTCAGGACCCCTGGATGACGAGAAATATTGAAAGTTTTGTCTTTTTGACTAAGGAAACATATATAAGGTTTAGGAAACCAAAAACAAACAAGGCCTTTGAGGAATATAATGGAAACAGAAACGAACTTAAGGAACCAGGAGGATGAAAAGGGGCCATGAAATGTCCTTTTGCAAGTAGGATTAAAGAGAATCCCAGGTATTTTATACATATGTTAGGAGCAAGAGGGTAGCAAGGGAAAAGGGTAGGCCCAGTCAAGGACAAATGAGGAAATTTATGCATTGAACCAGAGGAAATGGGCGAGGTCCTTAACGATTATTTCACATCAGTATTCACCAAGGAGGACATGGATGCTGTTAAGATTAGGGAGGAGTATGTTGATATCAAGGAGGAGCTGCTTTTGGATGTCGTGAAAAACATTAAGGTAGAGAAGACCACAAGGTCTCATGGATCTATCCCAGGACGCCAAGGGAGAAGATTTCTGTGATCTCAACAGAACTTTGTATCCTCTATTTCAGCAGGCTAGGTCCCAGAAGTCTGATTAGCCAATATTGTTCCTTTGATTAATAAGGGTAACAGGGATAATGCAGGAAATTAGAGGGCAATGAGCCTACATCAGTGGTAGGGAAATTATTGTAGGAGATTTTTAGGGACAGGATTTACGATCACTTGAGAACGAACAGACTTATTAGGGACATTCAGCACACGTTTATGCAGGGGAGATCTTGTCTCACAAATCTGATAGAGCTTTTTCAGGAAGTGACAAAGATGATGGATGATATAGGGCAATGGATGTTGTCTACATGGACTTTACTGAAGCAATTCACAAGGTCCCTCATGGTACATTGTTCCAGAAGATTAAGTCACCTTGGATTCCCAGTGAGTTGGTACGTCAGATACAAAATAGAAGACAGAGGGTAGTTGTGGAGGGGTGTTTTTCTGACAGGAGAACAGAGTGGCCATTTCCAAGGATCAACGCTGGGACCTCTGCTATTTATAATGTACATTAACAATTTGGATGAAAATATAGGTGGGCTGACTAGTAAGTTTGCAGGTGACATGAAAATTGGAGGTATTCATAGATCATAGATCGTAGAATCCCTACAGCGTGGAAACAGGCCCTTCGGCCCAACAAGTCCACACTGACTCTCAGAGCATCTCACCCAGACCCATTCCCCGATAACCCACCTAATCTACACATCCCCCAACACTATGGGCAATTTTCCATGGCCAATCCACCTAGCTTGCACATTTTTGGACTGTGGGAGGAAACCCACGCAGACACGGGGGGGGGTGGAAAATGTGCAAACTCCACACAGTCACCAGAGGGTGGAATCGAACCTGGGTCCCTGGCCAGTGCTAACCACTGAGCCACCGTGCCATCCCGATTGTATTGTAGACAGCAAGAAGGTTGTCAAAGGATACATAGAACATAACAGCGCAGTACAGGCCCTTCGGCCCTCGATGTTGTGCCGACCTGTGAAAACCAATCTGAAGCCCATCTAACCTAAACTATTCCATTATCATCCATATGTTTATCCAATGACCATTTAAATGCCCTTAAAGTGGGCGAGTCTACTATTTTTGCAGGCAGGGCATTCCACGCCCTTACTACTCTGAGTAAAGAACCTACTACTGACACCTGTCCTATATCTATCACCCCTCAATTTAAAGCTATGTCCCCTCGTGCTAGCCATCACCATCCGAGGAAAAAGGCTGACTGTCCACCCTATCTAATCCTCTGATCATCTTGTGTGTCTCTATCAAGTCACCTCTTAACCTTCTTCTCTCTAATGAAAACAGCCTCAAGACCCTCAGCAGACCTCCCCTCCATACCAGGCAACATCCTGGTAAATCTCCTCTGCACCCTTTCCAATGCTTCCACATCCTTCCTATAATGCGGCGACCAGAACAGGACGCAATACCGCAAGTGCGGCCGCACCAAAGTTTTGTACAGCTGCAACATGGCCTCATGGCTCCAAAACGCAATCCCTCTACCAATAAAACCTAACACACCGTACGCCTTCTTAACAACCCCATCAACCTGGGTGGCAACTTTCAGTGATCTACGCACATGGACACCGAGATCTCTCCGCTCAGCCACACTACCAAGAATCTTACCATTAGCCCAGTACTCTATTCCTGTTACTCCTTCCAAAGTGAATCACCTCACACTTTTCCGCATTAAACTCCATTTGCCACCTCAGTCCAGCTCTGCAGCTTATCTATGTCCCTCTGTAACCTGCAACATCCTTCCGCACTATCCACAACTCCACCGACTTTGGTGTCATCCGCAAATTTACTAACCCGTCCTTCCACGCCCTCATCCAGGTCATTTATAAAAATGACAAACAGCAGTGGCCCCAAAACAGATCCTTGCGGTACACCGCTAGTAACTGAACTCCAGGATGAACATTTCCCATCAACCACCATCCTATGTCTTCTTACAGTTAGCCAATTTCTGATCCAAACCGCTAAATCACCCTCAATCCCATGCCTCCGTATTTTCATTGTGCGCTGTTCTGGTCACTGCACTGTAGGAAGGAAGTGTGGAGGCCTTAGACAGGGGGCAAAGGATGTTTTAGGAAGATGTTGCCTGGATTGGATTGAATTAGCCATAAAGGAGCAGTTAGACAAACTTGAATTGGAGCATTGCAGGCTGAGGGGTGACCTGATCAAAGTATATAGGGTGGATAGTCAGTCTTTTTCCCAGGATGGAAATGCCAAATACCAGGGATATAGGTTTATCGGAAAGGGCGGGGTTTAAAGGAGATGTGAGGCAAGAGGGGGTAGAATCAGATATGACAGCAATGTTTAAGAAGCATTTTAAGAGGCATTTAGACTCAGACAGGGAAGAGGGGGATATGGACCATGTGGAGGCAGACGGGATTAGTTTAGAACGACATGATAGTTGGCACAGACATGGTGGACCAAAAGGCCTGTTCCTGTGCTGCACTGTTCTATGTTCTACGTAAGGTAGTCTTAGTTTGGACGTGTGGATGAGAATGAGAGTGTATTGGCGGGCAGGGGGCGTGGAGGGTGCATCTTTGTGGACATGTTATCAACAAGTCAGAAGTACTTCAAGTAAATTAAAATTATTTTTCAAAAAGAGCTGCACCTTTTTGATCCAATTCAGGACATGTTAAAAAGATAAATGAAACATCACAAAAAAGGAAGAAGCAACTATTAAATGGATTACAATAATTCACACATCATAATCATCAGGGTGCAGCTCTACCGGTAGCATGGGGACTCTGAGCCCATGACCCAAGTGACCATCTTGAGACAGACAGAAACTTAACACCATTTCAAAGCAAAGCGAATCCTATACACAGACTACCAACAGCAGTCACTAGATGGTAGTCAAGAGCAGGATCCCAGGCCTATTTCCAATTCGTCCACAAATATTACAGCTTTGAGATGAGAAGCAATTAAATATATTAGTTTTTTTTTCAAACGGAAACCAGGCAGGAGGTTGACTACAACCCACACTAAGAGTTCATGGCACTAACTAATTTGATAATTACCTTTCAGGAAACTCCAGTAAAGCTTCTATTAAAAAAGACTTGTGACCATCAGCTTTGACCTCCCTTTAACACAAGCCTGGGTACAATCAGATGCCACATCACAGCTCTATCATTTGGTCCATGAAAGTTACGGGAACGGAACAGGAAGTTACACCGCTTTCAGAAAGTGATCCTCTAAATAATACCCACCTCCAAATAACAGTCCAGCCAGGCATGAACTTTCACAAAAGTTTCCAGACCTCCAAAATTTGGTTTTAAAATGCCCACTAAATTATTGAAGGTGATCACTTAAAATGCTATCAACAAGAATTTAATATTGAACGCCATATAACTCAAAAACCTCTAACATGTTTTTTTTCCTCATCTCCTCTGCTTCAGTAGAAACAATCCTCCAGTGTCTTCCCTAGTTACTTCTCATAATTATAGTTTCTCCCGTTCAGTCACAGGACACAGATGTCACTGGCTGGTCCAGGATTTATAGCCTATTCCCAGTTGCCCTCGAGAAGATAGTGGCAAACTGCCTCCTGAACTGATGGGTCCATGTAGGTAGGTAGACCCAAAGATCTTGACTCAGCAACACTGAAGGAATGGCAATGTATTTCCAAGTCAGGATGGTTAGTGGATTGAGTTGGGGTGGGGGTGGGAGGTTTGAGAAGAGACTTAGAGGTGGTCATGTTCCCATATATCTGCTGCCCTTGGCCTTCTAGATGGAAGAAGTGGTGGCAAGTTTGGAAGGTGCAGTCTAAGGGGTACTAGCGAATTGGTCAATTATTGATAAATTGAGTTTGATATTCTTTGTATCTCCCTGGTGATGACTAATGATTTTAAACTACTTCTCATCGAAGCTTCACTAAAAAGAAACAGTACTGAAAGCAAGTACAAAAAGAAACTACACATTACCATCCCTGTTGCTGTAACGTTTTGACAAGAATTGCTATTATATTACTATAATAAGTATTGACAAGCTTGGGAGTACAAACCTCTGCACAAAGGTGAAAGTAACAGAGTAGGATGGTGGCTTCTGAGCATGTTATGAGCAGAATGATGAACACCAAGAACAGGAATCCAAACATGTAATACATCTGATGTGACCTGAAAATGAAATGTTATTAATTAATACAAGGCAAATATTTGAAAGTATTGATTAAAAACACCAATTTCAAATGAAGTGTCACCCAAGCAACTACAAATTCATCTAGAAATAATGCTGTGAGGATTGAAACAACTGAAATTACAAATAAATAAATCCAAGGGGAAAACTTTTGAACCAGTAAAAAAAAAGATATTTCTGTATTACAAAAAAAACTTGCTGTAAGCTTGCACTGCATTTCGTATGTGAGGCAGCCAAGGTACCTTAACTTCGAATAACCAACAGATTAGCCCTGATCTTACTGAATGGCAGAGCAGATTACAAGGAATGAACAGCCTACTTTTGCTCCTACTTCACATGTAATCAAATTCCCTTCTCACTGCACAATACCTGCCCCTTTTATCTCCTCATTCTTCACTGGCCAAGGTGCCAAAGACTCCTTCCAGGTAAAACAACAATTCACAAGTATTTCTTGCAATTCTATCAAGTGAATTTTGGTGCTGACAATATAGCTTCCAGAACACAGGAAACCAAACAGTGACTGGGGCCAGCTTTCCAAACACACCCCTTCAGACTGCAAGCATATTCCATAAACATGTAAATGATGGAAGAAAATGTGGCAGTTGGGACAGATAATAAGCAAGTTTATGAACAACAAAGATTAGTCGGATGGTTGATGGTGAGGAAGATGGTCTTGGGTTGTGGAAAATATAGATCACTTGGTCAGATGGAATTCAATCCTCACAAGCATGAGGTGTTGCACTTCGGAAGGAACAAGACAAGGGAGTACTCAATGAATGCCAAGGTATTATATAGGTCACAGAAACAGAGGGGCCTTGGGGACCTTACCCACAGATTCCTGAAGGCCACAGGACAGGTTAGTAAGATAGTTACCAGGATGGGGAGGAACTTCTGAGGATTGGAAGTCTTAACTCCTTGCCACAGACAGCTGTGAGGGTAGACTGTACATTTAAGGCTGAGATAGATAGATTCTTAGGCAGTAGCAGACTCAAGGGTTACAGAGAAAAGTGAGGAAAGTGGATATGAGGAGTACCAGATCAACCACTATCCTACTGAATGGTGATGCAGGCTCAAAGGGCCAATGGCCTACTGTTGTTTTTGTATCTTAAAGCAGCATAAGGGACACTTGCCTTTATCAGTTGTGGCACAGGTTATAAGAGGAGGGAGGTTAAATCAAACGTGCACAGGACTTTGATTAAGTACAGCTTCAGCACTGTGCGCGGTTCTGGTCTCTGCACTATCGAAAGGATGCGATTGCGCTGGAGGGAGTGCAGAGGAGATGCACCAGGATGTCACCTGGGGTGGAGCATTTCAGTGCAGGAGAGGCTGGATAAGCTCGGGTTGTTTTGCTTACAACGGAGAAGGCAATAAGGGGTCCTGACTGAGGTCTACGAGATGTGATGGGCATGGATAGGAGGTAGCCATTCTCCTTCGTTGACAAGTGAACTCAAGTTGAAGGTGAAAGGCAGGAGGTTTAGAGGAGATTTGTTTTTTCACCCAGTGTGATGAATATCTGGAGTGCACTGCCTGAAGGGTCAATGAGGTGGGAAACCTCACAATCTTTAAGTGGTATGTACGTGAGCACTTGAAATGTCATAATATTCAAGGCTATGGGCCAAGTGCTAGAAAGTGGGACGAATGTAGATTTAGAGTTGTTTTGTTTAGTTCAGACTCGGTGGGCTGAAGGGCCTTTTCTATACAGAGAGATTCTATGCTGCCTGACCTGCTGCATATTTCCAGCATGTTCTGCTTATCTTTCAAATTTCCAGCAACCACAGTATTTTGCTTTTCCATTTCTTGGCTACAATACATTCTGTAACTTACAAACAGAGACCGATAATATATTGATATTTCAGAATGTCAAACTCCAAATTCTTAGGAAGCACCCAATTAATTTTCACAATCTATTTCAACTCACCAGATGCTGTTCAAAATAAAAAACAGTTGTATGAAAATGCAGCCAAAAGGTAGGATGCCACCCATAACGATGCCTGGTAAAGGTTTTGTAAAGAACGACTGCTCTGGGATTTGACGTGGAATTTGATTTGTGCGGACAGGATGATCGATAGGCTGAAAGAAATAAAGTAATAAAAATTTAATGTGCCATTGATAACTACCATTCTGATTATGGTTAATGCATTTAAGTGTGTAATTTTCATTTTGGAAGAGCGGAAACAAAACATGCACATAATACCAAAGAAACACCTTATAACTGATCATTTCTTCAAGCACCAGTGCAGGTTTAATGGATTGCTAACTACAAATTAAAATGCACTTCAATTCATAGAGGGTCTAGTCTGTCAAGTTTTTATTGCGTATTTACAATTTTAGTTTGCTGTATCCTTTTATCCCTACACAGACCAACTCTTCCCACAGCTAAAAGTGTAATTTATTAGTAAACTGCACTCAAATATTCTGAACAAAAATTCTTAAAATAGATTTAGTTATCAGTATGGGTCTAAGTGAAGTGAGTGAAGACAGCACTCAAATGACAGCATCAACCGTAACGAACACCCTGCACATTAAAGCTTTCACTTGTTTCATTTTGAAAGTAAAACACTGACTGCAGGATTTCAATTACGTCACGTTCCTCACATAGATGTCAACACCTCTACAATTTACAATCCTACTCATTTGCTGTTTGATTTCCCTCACCGATTGATGCCTGTTAAAGCCCATAAAAAACCTCAGCATGCAAGGATTACCAGCAAAAGCTGGCATTTATTGCCCTTCCACAACTGTTCAACAAGGTGGTGGTAAGCCACTTTCTTGAGCTGCCGCAGTCCATTATGTTAAAGTGCTCGCACAATGCTGTTACATCAATAACGTCCAAGTCAGGATGATGTGCTCCTGCTGTCTTTTTCTTTTAAGTGGTCAAGGTCAAGGCTTTGAGAGGTTCTGTCAAAGGCAGTGGTTGTGGTGGTGAGCTAGCTTCTTGAACTGCAGCAGTCCATTTGGTGCAAAATACACCCACTATGGTGTTAGGAAGAAAATTCAAGCATTGTGACATAATAACACTGAAGCAACAGCAATGTACTGCAAGTCAGGATGGCAGCTTTAGAATTAGAATATCCTTTATTGTCATGTGCTAGTAATTCTAGTACAGAATTACTGAAGGACAGTGAAAAGTTTTACAATTTCACTTCTTATGGTGCCATGTTAGGTACAAGTACTCGGGTACGAATCAGATACAAGATACAAAGAAGAATAAAAAAAGTAGTGACATGTACTGGGGAATCACTGTGAAGCAAAAGTCATAAATAAGACAGTTAAAAAGGATAGATATTACAGCCAGATTAAGAAATTACAAATAAACATTATATTGCAGTGGCTCAGCACAGGGGCTTCCACACGTGGTCTGACTGCCCGCATCAGACCCCAATCCATCAACTATTCCCGCAACACTCCAAATCTCCACTCTGCTTCACACCGCTCCGGGACCGCCTTCCCCATGCCAGCCTCTGCTCCGGGGCTCACCAGCTCATCCATTCTTCTCCGGTTAAATCCAAGTTATCAGTTGAGGAAATAAAAGTGCAGAAAGGAGGGGGGAAATAGGAGAAAAAAAGAAAAAAAAAAAGAGAAAGAACGGGTGGAGTATAGGAGCTCCAGCTGGACCGTCTTACTCTGCCACCATCTTGCCAGGATCCTTTGCATCTGATGCCTCTGGCCTACTAGATGGTATTGATTGGGGCTTTGGGAGGTCCCATCTAAGGAGCCTTGGTTAACTTTTGCAGTGTATCCAGTAGACAGTTACATACTGGTGCTGCAAAGTGTCGATTGTGGAGGGACTGAATGTGGTGCCCAGCTTCTTGAGTGCTGTTGGAGTTGAACCCATCCAGGAAAGTGAGGAGTATTCCATCATGCTCCCAAGTTGTGCCTTGTAGATGGTGGACAAGTTTTGGGGAATCAGGAGGGTAGTTGCTCAATGTGGGACTCCTAGCCTCTGATCTCCTCTCGTAGCCACAGTACATTTACAGCTACTCCAGTTACATTTCTGGTCCACTGTAATCCCCAGGATGTTAACAGTTGGGATCCAATGATGGTAATGCCATCGAATGTCAAAGGGTGATGGTTGGACTTTCTCGTTGGACATGACCATAGTCTGGCACATGTAAACAGTTACTTCCCACTTGTCAGCCCAAACATGGACATTGTCTAGGTCTTGCTGCACTTGGACATGGACTGCTTCAGTACATGAGTCTCCACAAATAGTGCTAAACATCAGGCAACCACAACCATCTTCCTTAATGACAGGTATGATTCAAATATAAATGTGTTAAATAAAACAACTTGCTAGTGATAATTGTACCAATCCTCTATAGGGACATCCTAAACATCCGATATATGCTCACTTGCTTATGAGAAATGCAAGTTTCTCACAACAGGAGTATGGGAAAACAGTAACTCAAACAGTTGGACTTATAATACATATGTAATCAAATGCAATGCCATAGATTCAATTATATTAAGTTCATTGCACAGCTGGTTTTACAAATGACTTGCTTTTATATATTGACGATTTATACCAGATATACACTATTTTGCAAAGCCAGGTACACATTTCCTCAAATCCCCACATAATTATTGCGAGTCTTAATGATGAAACATAGAATAACTTAGAAAAGAGCTGCATGCACCTAATCTTTTCAGGGATGATCAAAAAAAATTAATGTTACTAACTGACACACAGAACAAGTTGGTATGTGAGAAGTCCATGACAGAGTAATTACAGACTCCAGATTCCAAGTGTGATGGGCTTTTCTTCTGTTCAGATTTACCTGCTTCCATTTGAAAGAACGTACACAGATGCATTTCCACTAAATCTTGAGACAATTTACTAGAACATTGCAGGCTTTCCTGCACTTTTAATCCTCAATGTTTTGGGCCATTTTACTTAACATTTACATCAACAATTAAAATGCAGTTTAGTCATAACCTAGGCTCTGACAAACAAACGTTCTTGATTCCCACTCAGTCGCATTTGCCCGAAAACCTACCCACATATTTTTTGTTAGACGAGTATCCTGGTCTGACCTAACCTGGTTAGTAAACTACAGCAGCTGTTTGATGACTGCGGGAAGGCAAACCTCCTACAGTTTGTTCAAAATTCACTTTTCACAAACCTGACCCATGTCCCATTGCTTTGGCTCAGCTAAAAGCAGTTTTAGGGGTTTGGATGTGTCCCAGAAAAAAAAAACAAACATTTTCCTGCAATTTTAAACACACACAGTTGAAATAACTTCAGTTTACAAGTGTATGAGCAATGACTATTTTGAGAAACTCACCCTTTTTTTAAATCCAAAATAAGCACCAACAAAAGTCAGTGGCACTGAAATTCCAAACCACATCGCCAAAATTGCCACAAGCGTTCCAAAGGGAATGGCAGCAGATGATCCTTCTACCCAAAGGATCAGATTTGTAATAAAGAAATCAATGAAGACAACTCTGCGAATGGAAATAACATTACCTTATTAGCATAGCAGCATCATTTCATTAGACATTCTAAGAAAAACTACACCATCCTATGTACACTGCTTCTACATTTGTTATTTACTCTGTGTGAATCAAATTAATCCAGGAGTGCAATGTTATAAGACTCAGATTGCACTAATGACAGATTGCTGGAGTTTAATGGTTACATGGTGGGGGTGGGGCCGGGGCCAGTAATGGAAGCCTGAAACCATTTTGTTTTACAGAACAAAATGATAATATTTCTTAAAATCTTAAGATTTTTTTCAAATGTCAAAGAAAGTCAAAGTTTAAAATAAGAAAATGGGAGGTGAAGCATTTTGAATAAGAACATACCGTCTGCATCACACAACTCAGATGCCCTCATCTCATGAAGGAAGGAACTCGGGTGCTCAAAAAATATAGCAAATGTGCAAGATAATTAAAAATAATAAAAATTAAAATTGGAAAGCTTAGGACTGGTGCTAAGAAGGAAGAAACAAAGAAAGAAGTGTGAGACAGAGCACTAATCATGCAGAAAAAAAATAAACAGTTGCACCCAGGTACTGTCAATCAGCCCACCAATAATTTGAACACAAATCTCCTAGTCTACCAACAGAATAATTAAACCAGGGGTGCCTACTTTCCAGCAAGTCTTCACATTAAGTGACTGGGGAAGTGGGAGAAGGAATTGCCACTACAGTGCATGTCAGGAATCCCAGAGTTTTGGTTTTCAACTGTCAAGGCATTTCTGCCATGCACACAACCAAGCCAGAACCCAAAGTGCAGCTTGTGGTTTCACATTGCAACCAGCTCTGTAAATGTATCCTTAATATTAGTGTAATTTAATTTTTTTCAGAATGTAAACACAGTACATCCTTGAGAGAGGTTTCAATAATTAGTACGCTGTCGTCGCATGAGGCAAGTTTGCAGGAACAGCTGGATGAGAGCGCGTCCCCGTCTCTCTCCCTCTGTGCGTGCGTGCATGCGAGTTGGTGAGGGGATGATCTTGTTGCAAAAATCCTGATAGGGCATTGCTGAAGGGATATTTTCCTTTATGGGGACAGTTCTAAAATAAATAGTTTCCTATTTAAGCCTGTGATCAGGAGAATGTTTTTTGAGTCTTTAACTGTGGAATTTCCACAGAGAGCAGTTGAGGCTGGGTCATTGCATGTTTTTAAGGCTGATTTGAATAGATTGACAAAGCAACCGAAGGTTGCAAAGGTTAGTCAGTAATGTAGCATTCAGACCACAGATTAGCAAAGATCTTATCAAACTGTAGGGCAGGTGGGGCCAAATGGCCTAATCCTGCTCTTGTTTTGTCTATTCTTGCACATAATCCCCAGAACACCTTTTAGATTTAATTTGGTATGTTTTTATTCAGGTGTAACTACTGGAATTCAAACCAGAGAAGATTTAAATTAGATGGATTTAATTAGATGCAGAAAGATGGAGTTCAGATAGGAAATTAGCCATGACTGTACTCCATATCAGGGCAGGGTCAGAGTCAAATCGTCCTCACCCTGCAGCCATTACTTTCGGACAAAGCTTTTTAGTTATTTAAGGAATCTAAAATTAATGGAACAATGATTATACACAATTGTTAAATTGGGTAAAAATTGTATGACATGGCACAGTTTCTGCAAAGTTCTCATCTTGCTCTACCTATCTATACATAATGACTTGATTTGATTAAAGGGTGTGCATTACCAATGTTAAAGCCAAGCACAGATTCCACAAGCTATAGAAGTAGGATGACAAGTACTAACCCAGGACATAGAAAAGAAGTCAGGAGAACATTGGTCTTCCATTTCTCACCACCAAATGCTGTGGAAAAATCATAACAATTATCCAAAGATTATCCTGTGAAACTTTGTCCAGTAATCTTGAGAACTGAAACCTTTTCCAACTTCAAACATGTGGTCATTCCTGACCTTGGCTGGATTAGGTGTGCAGGGCTCCCTTCTTTCAGTCAAGATCCAATCCAGTATGACAGTACACAGAATCAGTTCTGAATTCAACAATCATGGTAAAGAAAATGATGTGATTTTATGCAGTCACACTTCTTGAATAAATTTCTTACCCAGATGCTAGTGTCAAATTAAATTGTACAGGCAACTTTTTTCTTCAAAAAGGGAGAGGATTGCTAAATGAAATCCCAAATAGATCTGATAGAAGATCACTGATTTGACAAAGTTAACTGTTCCTCTCTCCGAGGCCGCAAAATTCTATGTTTAGTTCAGTTATTACTGTAGTGGGTCAAGGAAGCAGCTAACTAATACGTTCTCAAAGAGTAACAGACAATAAATGCTGGCCAGTTAGTGACACCCATGCCTCTCAAATTTTAAAAAATAATTCCAGCTTGCAATTTCTCAAGTTTGTTTTATTGCGGTCAAATCAAACAAAGAACCTTCTCCTGCTTTTGCTTTGAAAAATGCCCCGGAGCCTGAAGCCACAAATCACAGCAATGGGACTTGGCCGTCAAGCTTATTGGGTTCCTATTAGGAAAACGGCAGCTGCTGCTGCTCACGATGGGAGACCTCATGCATATTCACGAGCTAATCATGAAAAAAAATTTCACATCAAGTTTGTTTGTGATGATGATAAGATGGGAGAGGCCTGTGATTGCTGATACCGACCCATTTAACTCAATGACCTGTTTCTACACTGTAGAATTGTCAATAAAATTTTACTTGCTTAATTTCCACACAGCCTACTTGCCATTTCCTCCAAAGCAAAACCCAAGGTGTTTGGGAGACAAAATATAATGCAAAACAATAACTCCCATTGCTAGTAAGGAGGGGAGATATTGAGGCTAGTTGCACTGAAGCAATGGCCAAGAGGAAGTTGTTTTTTTTTTGAGCAACAGAAACGACTGCTTCCCATATGAGCAGTGATTATAGGACCTCAATTTAAATGGTCAGAAATCACACGACACCAGGTCATCGTCCAACAGGTTTATTTGAAAACAAGCTTTCAGAGCCTCAGTCCTCCTCCTGGCATTAGTGAGGGGTAGTGTCAGACACAGAATGCATAAGTAAAAGATCAAAGGGTCACACCACTGATGAGGATGTACTAAACAAACCTAAGATGCTGTTAAATCTTCAAATCAGTTCGAAGGTTTTAATTGACAAATATGTACATATTAATGGCGAAATTCCTTTCAAGTCACCTGTCCCGAGAAAACTAAAGGTTTTAATCAATGTAAAGGAGAGGTGACAATTGAAATTGTCACCTCAAAACTACAAAGAGGATTCAAATAAATTTATTTGAACGCATCACTTTTCCATTTCTACTCAATGAAACCAGGGCACAGTTTTCCACACCCTGGAGGTGGCAAAAAGTGTAAATAATTGGGTGAATTGGTCTTAGAGAATTATTCACCTATAACACCACAATTGGACCCTGGGTAGGTGAACAACTCTGGATGTGAACACAATGGCCAAAGACTGCAGACCTTTGGAAGGGCAAGTGCTGTCTCTGCATTTAAAAAACCCATTAATACCCTGAAGAAAGCAGTTCTTTCTCCCCCTCACCAGTTGCTATTAACCATTAACTTGCAAAGTCAGAAGTCACATGACACCAGGTTATAGTCCAACAGGTTTATAGGTTCTCTGACAACGTGATATTTGCATTCTCATGAGACCTTGCATTGTAGAAAATTGTGCTATAGGGAAATCGCTACATAAAATTGATACCTGTACAGAAGAAAGTTTGTATAACACAAAGTGTCTGCTATTCATCAATCATATTACAGCCAATTCGCGTTAACGCAACACACGTTACAGCAGAACTGTCTGTATTTGAAATCAGAAGCTTTCGGAGGGTGGCCCCTTCTTCACCTGACAGAGGAGCTACGTTCCAAAAGCTTGTGACTTCAAATCAATCTGTTGGACTATAACCTGGTGTCGCGTGAATTCTGACTTTTTCCACCCCAGCCAAACACCAGCAGCTCTAAGTCATTAACTTGCAGACTTTGCAATTTGTGAAACAATCACTCTTTGACCCCAAGAAAATGAAGTGCACCTGGAGATGAGATTGAAAACCAGCATGCCCTGGCAAGAAAAAACGATCTCAGCAAATCCTGTAGGTAGGGAGTCACTGAAATGTCTTTCCAGGTTTTCCCTCCACCCATAACAGCAATTTTTTAGTTTCTCTATCTTAATTTGTAATAAATAGTAATTCTTGTCAAATACAGAAACCTGGCCTATGCATTCTATTAACATGGGTCTACGATAGGTAAATTGAGGAGTTTATATGAATCATGGAATCCCCTCAGTGCAAAAAGAGGCCTTCCCGCAATGACCCTCAACAGCAATCCCACCCAGGCACTCTCTGCCCAGATCTTAATCTGATTGGCAACAATGCAGAGTGCTTATCTAAAACTTAATACACCCACTGGATCTGGTTTCAAAAATCTAGATGTTTATAAAATAAATTAAAATGGAAGAAACGATGGTACTGATCATAGCTTCTCAGATAATGAATTTTAACATTAGAGTCACATGCCAGTTTATCGATTGCAGCAGCTTTAGGGTATTAATATTTTTGCAACACAATTATCTTCATCACTATTAACATGATTAACTATTTTTGCCTTGCTAGATCAATGACAAAAAAAGTTACACTACGCATCACTTACTTTTATACATTCTGGCAGAAACGTATCCTGCCGGTGTTCCAAGCAAAACCCACAGAACAACAGCACAAGTCATCAATGCTCCTCGGTTAGCAGGTGAAAGAAACCCAAGACATGCAAGGACTATATAGGATGGAGAAAGAAATGAAATCTCTCATTAAGAGCAGGAAAAAACTTTTCTAGATTTAATTTTTTCAACGGAATGCAGCTTTTCAGTAAAATAATGGATGTCTTTCTGCTATTCAGATCATGTAAAAGAAACAGACTTTTATCCCCACACACATTCAATCTGATTACAAGTCAGTGTTTAAAAACTTTTTGATGAAATTATCTCCCTCATTAGATTTTCTGCTCTGCATCCTAAAACTAAAAACTTCAGCTTTCTGCATAATGCAATTTGCTCACTCTACAACTATTGTCTGTGAAGAAAGAGTTAATGCTGGAGAGTGATACTTGTTTTGACAAAGAATCCCACCTGTAAAATTAACTCCTATTCTCTGAATCAATATCGTGTTGTTTCAAGCATGTTTATTGTTAATTTCCAAGAAAGCATAAGTCTGACTGACAAAGACAACTTTTTAAAATTCACATCTTCCATTCCCAGATTTCTCAAATTAACTTATCACTGAACCTAACCCTGAGCTGATCTTCAAACCAGAAACTTATACTTCACAAAAGGCAACTATTTTTGAGACCAACATAGCTTAAGTGGCTTCCTGTGTTAGCACAAATTGAACATCTTCATGTCTACAGCACTAACATTCTTCTTGAAAACAACCAGCTGACAACAATATTGAGACACACCCTAAAAACAGTGAGTGTTGTGCAGAGATAGTAAGAACTGCCGGTGCTGGAGTGAGAGAAAACACTGTGGAACTGGAGGAACACACAGGCCAGGCAGCAGAGGAGCAGGAAAGCTGACGTTTCGGGTTGGGACCCTTCTTCTCTGAAACCAGAAACGTCAGCTTTCCTGCTCCTCTGATGCTGCCTGGCATGCTGTGTTCCTCCAGCTCCGCACTTGAATGTTGTGCATTTGGATTTTTAAAGGACTTTTGATTAGGTCCCAAATAAAAAAAGGTGGTTAGTGGACAAGATTAAAGCACACAGGATTGGAGGCAATATATTGCATGGATTAACAACTGACCGATAGCAAGGAAATAAAGAGGGAATAAACGAGTCTTTTTCCCCCCCCCGCAGTGGAAAGCACTGATGAGTGGGGCACCAGCTATATAATATTTGTATGACTTGGATGAAAGAACCAAATGCAACATTTCCAAGTTTGGTAGCCATAAAACTGGATGGGTTTCAGAGTTGTGGGATATGTGTAAAGTGACTTCAGGTGATTTAGATAAGTTGGGTAAGTGGACAAATATTGGCAAGTGAGCACACGGCTAAACAAAGTTATATGGTTCAGTGTGAAAAATAAAAGGCAAAGTACTATTTTAATGGTGAAATATTAGGAAGTGTAGATGTGCAAAGGGATTTGCATGTCTTTGTACACCAATGAAAGCAGACAGATAGGTGCAGCAAGCATTTCTTTACGTTGGCATTCATTGCAACAGAATTTGAGTTCAGAAATAGCGATGTTTCACTGCAGGGTCTTGATGAGACGACGCATGGAATACTGCAAGCAGTTTTGGTCTTCATGACCAAGAAAAGATATACTTGCCATAGAGACAGGGTAACGGAGGTTTACTAGGCTGATACCAAGGATGACAGGACTGCCACATGGGGAGATACTGGTTCTACTCAGTCTGTATTCAGATGTTAGGAGGAGGTCTTAACTAAAATTCCAACAGGGATGGACAGACAAGGTGCAGGGACAATGTTTTCCCTGGCTGAGAGCACAGAACCAGGGGTCACAGCCTTATTCAGGGTAGGCTACCAAGGACAGATGAGGAAACAGGTTCACTGTCCTTTGCGTGAAAACATGTCGAATGTTACCGCAGAAGGCTGTGGAGGCCAAATCATTGAATCTATTCAAGAAATAGATAGGTAATTTTATTTTAAAGGTATTAAAGGCATCAAGGGGTTTAGGGCAAAGCAGGAATGTGGCATTGAGACAGAAGATCAGTCATGATCAAATTGCATTTTTGGAGCAATTTAAAGGGTTGAAAGGCCTACTCCTGCTCCTGGTTTCTATGTTTAATCAATCATTTCAGAAGCCAGTTAGTGGTCAGCCACATTGCTATAGGTCCAGGCCAGTTAAGGGGAAAGACAATGTTTCCTTCACCATAGTTGACAGGGCCCTCAGCCAGGTCTGACCATCCGCACTTCAGCCTTCAGCTCCTCTCTGCCACCCAACAAGAGTGATAGGGTCCCCTTTGTCCTCACCCACCATATCAGCATCCATATCCATGGGATTATTGGCCACTATTTCTGCCACCAGACACACTCCCCTTCCTTCATCCTTTCACAGGGACTGCTCCCTCCAGGCACCCTGGTCCACACCTCCTTCACTCTCAGCAACTACATCCATCAACCCTCACCCCAAAAATCACTCCATAGCACCTTCCCTTGCAACCACAGAACATGTAACACTCGACAGCCTTCTGGACTCAATAGAGTTCAACAATTTTAGCACTGAGGCAGCTTCTCCCATGTTCTTACCCCAAGCCTCCACACACCAGGCCTTATTATCACACTATCTGCTATCACACACTATCACGCATTATTAGCCACTAACAGTCCACATTAATAGCTATTCATTATCCTAGCCGGATCATGGGCGCTCTCTCCATCTTTTGTTTAGTCCTTACCTCCCATCTGCTGCATAAAAAAACATTTCCCTAGTTATCGTCAGTTCTGAGGAAGGGTCACCAAACCCGAAATTTTAAACTGATTTCTCTCCACAGATGCTGCAGACCTGCTGAGGTTTTCTAGCAGTTGGTGTTTTCATTTGATTTCCACTGTCTGCAGTTCTTTCGGTTTTTATTTGTTTCCTTCACCAATGGGCACGTGTAAACTTTCATGTCAATCTGGTGCTTTCATCAGAGAGACAATAGCTTCAAGTTCCTGATTACCAGGGTCGGGGGGTGGGGGGTGGGGGGTGGGATTTCAACTCAAGACTATGGATTATTAATGCAAGCACTGCAGTCACTTGCATTATTTCCTGCAGCTTCCAAAAAGATTGAACATGTAACCTCCACAATTAACAGAGTATGAACATCCCATTCTTGCCAATGTTTGCCCACCTGTCCATTGGCTCTTCCTGCTTTAAGCTAACCATGAACCTGCTAACTCGCCTCCCACTGCTGAAAACCAGAGAACAGTCTCATACCTTGCCTCAGTCATCTGGATTTTCACTACATTCCACAGCTCGAGTGCTGCACTGAGAAACTAGACCACAGACACCAAAAGCAGGTAAGCTATATTGCTATTTTCAGAAACTAGCCCAGAAACATTCAATAGAGTAAAACAATAAACAAGAAGTTAATTATTCAACTCAGTTTTGTATTTTGCTTGCTATCAAATAATACTTACAAAGAGTGATAAACATCATTATGAAGATTTGTGTTCCTTGACCGAGGAAAACGGATAAAAGCATTCCCTTCCTGGGAGGCCTAAAAACATCACCATGCACCAGCTTCCAACCAAACTCTTCCTGAGCATCCTCCTGTACAGGATAGTTAAATGCATTATTGTCAAGAGACAGAAAAACAGTTCACTAATATGATGAATGTTTATTATAACCAACTGCTGAAAGTCACCTCCATTCTGTAACAATTTGGAAGCTGCAGTGTAACTACTCTGACTCTATAGCAACATGGCCACATGGTGGACTCTGACTTGGCCCCCATCCCAAATCATAGAACATAGAACAGTACAGCACAGTACAGGCCCTTCGGCCCACAATGTTGTGCCAAACTTTTACCCTAATCCTAAGGTCTATCTAACCTCCACCCCTACCTTATACTATCATCCATATGCCTATCTAATAGCCACTTAAATGCCGCTAATGAGGCTGACTCCACTACCCTCTCCAGCAATGCATTTCACGCCCCTACCACTGAGTAAAGAACCTACCTCTGACGTCTCCCCGTATCTACCTCCACTCTTTAAAACTATGGCCCCTCGTAATAGCTACCTCCACCCTAGGAAAAAGTCTCTGGCTGTCCACTCTACCTATACCTCTCATCATTTTGTACACCTATATCAAGTCACCTCTCATCCTTCGTCATTCTAAAGAGAAAAGCCCTAGCGCGCTCAACCTTTCCTCATAAGACCTTCCCTCCATTCCAGGCAACATCCTGGTAAATCTCCTCTGCACCTTTTCCAACGCTTCCACATCTTTCCTGTAATGAGGTGACCAGAACTGGACACAATCCTCCAGATGTGGCCGAACCAGGCTTTTGTATAGCTGCAGCATAACTTTAATCCCTCTATTAAAGAAAGCTAACACACCATACGCCTTCTTAACAACTCTATCCACCTGGGTGGCAGCTTTCAGGGAACTGTGGACATGAACCCCAAGATCCCTCTGCTCCTCCACACTGCCAAGAATCCTTCTGTTAACCCTGTATTCTGCTTTCAAATTTGTCCTTCCAAAATGAATCACCTCACTTTTCAGGGTTAAACTCCATCTGCCACTTCTCAGCCCAGCTCTGCATCCCATCAACGTCCCTTTGTAACCTAAAACAGCCCTCCGCACTACCCACAACTCGACCCACTTTCGTATTGTCCGCACCCATCCACTCCTACATCGCAATCATTTACAAAAATCACAAATCAAAGAGGACCCAGAACAGATCCTCGTGGTACACCGCTAGTGACTGAGCACCGTGTTGAATATTTTCCATCCACTACCACCCTTTGTCTTCTCAGGGTCAGCCAATTCTGAATCCAATCTGCCACATTTCCCTCTATCCCATGCCTCCTTACTTTCTGCATGAGCCTACCATGGGGAACCTTATCAAACGCCTTATTTAAATCCACATATAACACATCCACTGCTCTACTTTCACTACTAAAACTTTGAAGTGAGTGCAAAGCAGAATACACTTGGACATTAATTGCACTCCTTGCTGCCCTGAATAAGCTGAAAGTGAGTTTATTAATTATGTTTATTAATAAGAGTGCAATAGAAAAGTTAAACTATCAAAAGGATGTTAAGTGGGAAAGCAAAGTCAAGGACCAATGTATAGCCTCACCAAGAGATAGCAACAGATTAGACAGTGGAACCCAAGCTTGCTAAGTACTTCTTAAAATGATATGTAGTAGGAGCAGATGTAGGCAATTCAGCCCTTTAAGTCTGCTCTACCATTCAATACAATCATGGCTGATCTCATCTCGGCCTCAACTCCACTTTCCTACCTGCGCCTAATAACTGCTCAACCCATTACTAATTCAAAATCAGTCCAGCTCTTCCTTAAGTTGACTCAATATCCCATCATCCAATGTAATTTGGGTTTGTGAATTCCACAGATTCACGACCATACCACAGTAAGAAATATAAAAAGAGGATTAGGCCATTCAGCCCTTCAAGCCTGCTTTGTCCTGGATGGTGTCAAGCTTCCGAGTGTTGTTGGAGCTGCACTAATCCAGGCAAATGGGGAGTATTCCTTCACGCTCTGGACTTGTGCCAAGGATGGCGGACAGAAATGTTCTGGTAGCCACTATATTTGTGGTGAGTCCAGTTAAGTTTCTGGTCAATGGTAATCCCCCAGGATGTTGATAGTGGGGGATTCCGTGATGGTAACACCATTTGAATGCCATGGCGTGGTGGTTAGATTGTCTGATTGGTGTGGCACAAATATCACTTGCCACTTGCCAGCCCAAGCTTGGACATTTGTTGCATTTGAACGTGGACTGTTTCAGTATCAGAGGAGTCGCAAATGGTGCCAAATATCATCAAATCATGGGCGAACATCTCTACTCAAGGTCTGAAGGTGAAGGGAAGGCCATTGATGAAGCAGCTGAAGATGGTCCTCTCACGCTATCTTAAGGAACTCCTGTAGAAATGTCATGGAGCTAAGACGATTGGCCAACCATACCCATTTTCTTGTGTGTCAAGTATGACCCAACCAGAGAGCTCGCCCCCAAAACCCATTGATTCCACTTTTGCTAGGGCTCCTTGATGCCACAGTCAAATGCAGCATTGATGTCAAGGGTTGTCACTCTCACCTCAGCTCTGGAATTCCGCTCTTTTGTCCATGTTTGAACCAAGGCTGTAATGAGGTAAGGAGCTGAGTGACCCTGGTGGAACGCAAACTGCGCATCACTGAGCAGGTTATTGCTTGATAGCACTATTGATGACATCTTCCATCACTTTTCTGATGATCAAGAACGGACTGATGGGGTGGTGGCTGGCCGGCTTGGATTTGTCCTGCTTTTTACATGCAGGACATACTTGGGCAATTTTCCACATTATTGTAACTGAACTGGACGAACTTGGCTAGGGGAGCAGCAAGTTCTAGAACACAAGTCTTCAGTATTGTTGCCAGAATCTTGTCAGACCCATAGCCTTTGCAGTATCCAGTGCCTCCAAACTCTTGATATCACGGAGTGAATGCAATTAGCCGAAGACCGTATCTAGGATGCTGGGGACCACAGGAGGAGGCAGAGATGGATCATTCACTCAGCACCTCTGGCTGAAGATTGTTGCAAAAGCTTCTGCCTTATCTTTTGCACTGATGTGCTGGTCTTTTCTATCATCAAGGATGGGGATATTTGCGAAGTCTCCTCCTCCAGTGAGTTGTTCAATTGTCCATCATTCGTGACTGGATGTGGCAGGTCTGCAGAGCTTAGATCTCATCTGTTATTTGTGGCATTGCTTAGCTCTGTCTATCACTTGCTGCTTATACTGTTTGGCATGCAAGTAGTCCTGTTTGGTGGCTTCACCAGGTTGACCTCATTTTTAGGTATGCCAGGTGCTGCTCCTGGCATGCCCTCCTGCACTCTCCATTGAACCAGGGTTGATCCCTTGACTTTTGATGGTAATGGTTGAGTGGGGGATATCTGGGCCATGAGTTTACAGATTGTGCTGGAGAACAATTTTGCTGTTGATGGCTCACAGCACCTCATGGATGCTCAGTCCTGCGTTGCTTATCTGTTCGAACTCCGTCCCATTTAGCACAGTGACAGTACTACAGAACACAAATGGAAGTTATTCTCATGTGAACATAGTGCTTTCTCTCCACAAGGACTGTGCAGTGGTCAGTCTTACTGACACTGTCATGGAGAGAGGAGTGTGCAGCCAGCAGACTAACAAGGATGATGCCAAGAATGTTTTTCCCTCATTGGTTCCCTCAGCACCTGCTCCAGATCCAGTCTAGCAGCAATGTCCTTTCAGGCACAAACAGCTTGATCATTAGTGCTACAGCCAAGCCAGTCTTTGTGGTGGACACTGAAATCCCCCACCCAGAATATATTTTGTGCTCTTGCCATGCTCAGTACTTCCTCCAAGCTTTGCTCAACATGTACTATCAGCCAAGGGAGGGCAGTACGTGATAATTAGCAAGGGATTTCCTTGCCTATGTTTTAACCTGACACCATGAGATTTCACAGCATCCGGACTCTATGTTGAGGCCTCCCAGAGCAACTCCCTCTCAACTGTATACCACTATGCTGCCACCTCTGCTGGGTCTGTCCTGCCAGAGAGACAGGACATATCCAAGGAAGATGGTGGTGGTATCTAGGAACATAGTCATACTCTCAGAATCATACCTTGCTGACAATAGAGATAACGAGGTGTAGAGCTGGATAAACACAGCAGGCCAAGCAGCAGAGGAGCAAAAAAGCTGACGTTTCAGGCCTAGACCCTTCCGAAACGTCAGCTTTCCTGCTCCTCTGATGCTGCATGGCCTGCTGGGTTCATCCAGCTCTACACCTTGTTATGTCTATTCTGCAGCATCTGGAGTTCTACTACCCTTTACTGAATGTCAGGCTGTTGCTTGACTAGTCTGTGAGGCAGCTCTCCCAATTTTGGCACCAGCCCCCAGATGTTAGTAAGGATGACTTTGCAGGGTCAACAGGGCTGAACTGATGAAGTCACAAGCATTTCCTCTCAGTGACTTAACTGCATATGCACTTGATCTAAGTCTCATAATTAAGATCAGGTCTCACAGACAAACAGATTGGCTCACTGACTTCAACTACAGAATAGTAAGGTTGGTAAAACAGATGAAGAAATTTGTGCTCTGTTAGCTGTGAGGTGGCCAAAAAAATCAAACTGCCTCTCTGCTGCTATATTTTCTTCTGAGCTTGACTCTGCCCATCCATCTTTCTGTAGAAGGTAAAATTCTGAAGTCAACCAAGGGCAGCAATTTTTTTATTATTCATTCGCAGGGCATGGATGACACTAGCCAGTCCAGGATTTATTAACCATCTTCTGAGCATTTAGGGATAGATAAATGTCATGGTCTGGAGTCATATGTTGGCCAGATCAGGTAAGGATGGCAGTTTCCTTCCTAAAAGGGCATTGGTGAACCAGATAGGTTGTTCTGATAATGGACAACAGTCATTAGACTCGTAATCCCAGACATGTGAAGAATTCAAATTCCACCATCAGCCATTGCAGTATTCAAAACTGGGTTCCTAGAACATTACCAGGGTTTCTGGATTAATAATCTAGGATAATACCACTAGACCATCACCTCCCCTTTTAGTAGTGCCCCCTTGACAATGAGCTCTTATTTTGCATCATAAGATTTGAAGAGACAGCTTATCAAATACCTTTTAGAAATCCAAGTACACCACATCTGCAAGTTCCCTTTTATCCATGTTACTCATCTCACCCAGAGGCTCAAGTCATGAGCTCAGGCCATCTGATTTCTTGGAAAGGCCCTTTTGATCTTACTGTTCAAAAGAGACTTGCTGACCCTTTCTTTAAAAAAAAATCCAATCTTCAAGCACTGAAAACCAAAAAACCTTACTTTCACTTCAGAATCTAAATTCCCAAATAAGAACATATCAAACTTTCATCACAGAAAGAGCATGCAATACTGCATATTCCAACTTAGGAAGACGTCGTGAATGTTAAGAGGAACATAAGCCTCAGAGTGAGGGAAAAAAAAAGAAGAGTTGAGTCTTGAGGAATCCAGGGTAATGAAGAGTATTAATTATGGAACAAATTAAACAAAACAAAAAAAAGTACAGGTGGTGGAAGAATATCCATGCCTCAAATTGTAAAAACATACACAATGGCAATCAAGATCATAAATAGTACTACTTTGAATCAGACACAGCCAACAATGGTACTTACTGCAGAATCAATCTGATTGTATCGAGCAATATCCTTGTGAAGGGTCCGAAGCATAATCATGGCCACCATCCCAGATAAGAACAGGACAATCACAAGGGAATTCATAATACTGAGAAAGAAAAGGAAATATCAACATCTATGAATTTTTAACTCCTCATACGTAACATGGACAGACTTCTGCAAGCTGCACTGTTTAAAGGATTTAATTAACTAAGTACAGCAAACCTTTTATTAAGCAGCACTTATAGGACCACTTATAGGTTGATCAAGAGGTCCACATAATGTAAAAAAGGTAAAAAATCACAACACTGGCACCTCCACATACACGGGCATAACAGAAAAGTTTGGGGGTTAGACTGTTACATTTTATTCACAGCATAAATCACTTAAGTAAAAAAAAACCAAACACTTACTGGCAGACAGCTTCTCAGTTGCACTGTCAACTGACTACTCTGACATCATGGAGAATGCGATAGTACACTGAACTTTCAGTATTTCAGGGATGTAATTTTTTGCTAATTTATCACAAGTGCCAGTTAAAAGAAAGTTTCCTGTATAACAGTTTAACTTTAAGTGTAGGGGAGGTGTACAGGAGGTTTTCAGTAACTGGGGACTACAGAACATGGGAGCACACCCTCCGGGGAAGGGACTGACAGAAGAAAATTCTTCACTTGAATGAGTATGAATCTTGAAGTTCCCTAAGAGCATTGTGGATGCTTAGTCATTGAACAGATTCACACCAATCTTGGAGCTACACATTTAACTCCTTGATTTGATTTACCCTATGCCTTTGCACCCCTGGCTCAAGCAGTAATCCTGAGATAGCAGCTTTGAAGTTCTGCTTTTTGATTTAGGTCTTAACTGTTTAATGATGTTGAGGTGTTGTTGGACATGTAGCCCCACCATACTGATCTGTATTTGTAAAATCTTCCTTACTTTCCTGTTTTGACACCATCACCTTGATAACAAGATTGATCTTTCTAGCTTCATTTGTACAGTTTTGAATTACTCGTTACTTAGGCTGCATGCCGAGAACTAACCAATCATGTTATTCCAGGTATTTGGTTTGTCTCCAGCACCACTTTATAAATTTTTTGTTAATTATCTCTCTGCCTCAATTAATTACAAGCCATCCCCTTCACTTGCAATTCAGCCATTGACACTTTACTCACACCATCTGACACTTTTGATCACCTGCAGAGACTTATCATTCGACACACCACTCATACCATTTGTATGATCTTTTGATCTCTGCCCATAAATTGTGCCCATAACTTTTCTTAAGTTCAGCTGACGCAGGGGCAGTGCTTCAAAAGCATGTGATTTCAAATAAGGCTGTTAGACTATAATCTGGTATTGTGTGACTTTTAAACTGTTTAAATTCTTTCAGCAAAACCTAATTTCTAATCTGTCTGCAACAGTGTAGGATTAATCGATCTTTTTCCTACATGATGCCAAACAGTTTAGATCATGTTACTGTGCAAATCACTGTGGGGCAAATAAATTGTTTATCTTGAATAAGTTACCTTGAGATTTTGTAAAATTTGAAACGTCAACTAGCACTAGGTTAACGACAACTTCAACTGGATGCACACGCAACACTACAGTTTCTTTATCCTCTGTCCCGTTTCAACACAAAGGGAACAAGTTGGACCTATAATCTCTTTTTTTCCTTTTTGAAAATCCACCTCCTCTGTAGATTTCTCCAGAAGTAGCTGCTCCCAGTCTTTGCCCAGAATCTTCCTTATGTTAGTAAAGTCTGCTTTCCTTACAAAGCAAAATCACTTGCTTGCAGATATTACCTCCTTTTCCAGAAGGAATGTAAATGTGTGGTGTTGTGGTCACGGTCACTAAAATAGTCCATCACTGCTACCTCAAACACCTGGCGAGTGAGGATGGACAGAATTAGGTCCATTATGCCATCCCTTGTTGAACCTTCGACATTTTGACCTGGATACATTTCAAGAAATTCATGCCCTCTAAAACCTTTAAACTATGATTATCACAATTAATTTTGGAGAAGCTGAAATCCCCTAATATAACCCTGTTGTTTTCACACACCTCAATTACCAGCACATCTGCTTTTCTATTGTCCACTGACTGTTTGGGACTGTCTAAAATATACAAATGTTTGTGTTCTCTTCTTTTGACCCATAAAGCCTCACTTGATCCTTCCAGAATATCATCACTCCTTACTGCAGTAACTGACTCCTTTCTAGATAATGCAGCACCACCTCCTCCTCCTCTACACCCTCCCGTCCTGCTTGAAGATCCTATATTCTGGAATGTTACCTTGCCTGTCCTGCCCCTCCCTCAACCATGTCTGTGTTGGCAGCAATACTGCAATTCAATCTAATCCAATCCACACCCTTAATTCATCAATACTACCATACCCTCGCATTAAAGTCATGGCCATCCAGCCTCCCCTCTGAAATTCAACTTGGCCAAATTCCCTTTTCCTTTGTTCCCCTACTATAGTATGCTGTGTCCTTATTATATTATCAGGGTACCTCATTCAACAAGGTGTACACAACAAGTTTTTACAAAGCAAGCACTCGTATACAGGTCGGTCCAAATCCTTATCAGCTTACTTGATGCATAAAGAGTGAACGCTATAAAAAATTTCCTAAGTATGCTCTCTAGAGCAGCATACAATCACCAACAGCAACTTTTGGATAGTCACATTATAGTGCACGTTGGTCTCAGCAGCAATTGCTAAATTTTGGCATCAATACCAACATTTCTGCAACAACATTGTTACAACCTAAAACAGTGATGTATAAAGAAACAGCAACCTGGTAAAACTTGTATGCAAAAAAAAAGTCTGTTATCTAAGGGTAAAACTGTTCCATTTGCATTTCTAATAGCATAGAAACTCAGAATTTTAGTTGCAGTGTTTACAGACAGCAGAACAATGACTACTTTATGCATGATAACCTTACATTGCAGTAAACCAGATTTCTTATTAATTTCATGAGTAGGTGACTATGCACAAATTAGAAGTTTAAGACATCACATACCTAAACCACTGAATATTTGTGTGGGGCATGGATTCCAAAATATAATCCCACCTGGAGGCCCACTTTATTTTGGCATCCTCCTAGATAAAAGAACAAAACAATATGTATTTATTACAATACGGAATTAATTCAGAGGCACTGCAAGTAAACACTGAGCAGGGATCTGCACTGCACAGTGAAATCTAACTCAATTTAGATAACATTAATCAACATTTATTTTGACCCATTTACTACTTCAGTAAACATAATTAAAAACTTAATTGCAAAATTGGAATTCAGCTACATTAACTAATAAGCTGTCAAACTCTAACAGTACAAGGTATTTGATATTAATGTCCAATTATTTTAACTTTAACTTTCCAAATATTGACTGGAAACGCTATAGTTCGAGTACTTCAGATGGGTCAGTTTTTGTCCAATGTGTGCAGGAGGGTTTCCTGACACAGTATGTAGATAGACCAACAAGAGGCGAGGCCACATTGGATTTGGTACTGGGTAATGAACGAGGCCAGGTGTTAGATTTGGAGGTAGGTGAGCACTTTGGTGATAGTGACCACAATTTGGTTACGTTTACTTTAGCGATGGAAAGGGATAGGTATATACCGCAGGGCAAGAGTTATAGCTGGGGCAAAGGCAATTAGGCAAGATTTAGGATGCATAGGATGGAGAAGGAAACTGCAGGGGCTGGGCACAATTGAAATGTGGAGCTTGTTCAAGGAACAGCTACTGCATGTCCTTGAGAAGTATGTACCTTCCAGGCAGGGAGGAAGTGGTCGAGCGAGGGAACCGTGGTTTATTAAAGAAGTTGAATCTCGTCAAGAGAAGAAGGAGGCTTATGTAGAGATGAGGCGTGAAGGCTCAGTTAGGGCGCTTGAGAGTTACAAGTTAGCCAGGAAGGACCTAAAGAGAGAGCTAAGAGGAGCCAGGAGGGGACATGAGAAGTCTTTAGCAGGTAGGATCAAGGAAAACCCTAAAGCTTTCTATAGGTATGTCAGGAATAAAAGAATGACTAGAGTAAGATTAGGGCCAGTCAAGGACAGTAGTGGGAAGTTGTGCGTGGAGTCCGAAGAGATAGGAGAGGTGCTAAGTGAATATTTTTCGTCAGTAGTCACACAGGAAAAAGACAAAGACAATGTAGTCGAGGAGAATACTGAGATACAGTCTATTAGACTAGATGGGATTGAGGTTCATAAGGAGGAGGTGTTAGCAATTCTGGAAGGTGTGAAAATAGATAAGTCCCCTGGGCCGGATGGGATTTATCCTAGGATTCTCTGGGAAGCTAGAGAGGAGATTGCAGAGCCTTTGGCTTTGATCTTTATGTTGTCATTGTCTTCCAGAATAGTGCCAGAAGACTGGAGACTAGCAAATGTTATCCCCTTGATCAAGAAGGGGAGTAGAGACAACCCTGGTAATTATAGACCAGTGAGCCTTACTTCGGTTGTGGGTGAAGTGTTGGAAAGGATTATAAGAGATAGGATTTATAATCATCTAGAAAAGGAATAATTTGATTAGGGATAGTCAACACGGTTTTGTGAAGGGTAGGTCGTGCCTCACAAACCTTATTGAGTTCTTTGAGAAGGTGACCAAACAGGTGGATGAGGGTAAAGCGGTTGATGTGGTGTATATGGATTTCAGTAAAGCGTTTGATAAAGTTCCCCACGGTAGGCTATTGCAGAAAATACAGAGGCATGGGATTGAGGGTGATTTAGCGGTTTGGATCAGAAGTTGGCTAGCTCTAAGAAGACAGAGGGTGGTGGTTGATGGGAAATGCTCATCCTGGAGTTCAGTTACCAGTGGTGTACCTCAAGGATCTGTTTTGGGGCCACTGCTGTTTGTCATTTTTATAAATGACCTGGATGAGGGCGTAGAAGGACGGGTTAGTAAATTTGCGGATGACACCAAAGTCGGTGGAGTTGTGGATAGTGCGGAAGGATGTTGCAGGTTACAGAGGGACATAGATAAGCTGCAGAGCTGGGCTGAGAGGTGGCAAATGGAGTTTAATGCGGAAAAGTGTGAGGTGATTCACTTTGGAAGGAGTAACAGGAATACAGAGTACTGGGCTAATGGTAAGATTCTTGGTAGTGTGGATGAGCAGAAAGATCTCGGTGTCCATGTGCATAGATCACTGAAAGTTGCCACCCAGGTTGATAGCGTTGTTAAGAAGGCGTACAGTATGTTAGGTTTTATTGGTAGAGGGATTGAGTTTCGGAGCCATGAGGTCATGTTGCAGCTGTACAAAACTCTGGTGCGGCCGCACTTGGAGTATTGCGTACAGTTCTGGTCACCGCATTATAGGAAGGATGTGGAAGCATTGGAAAGGGTGCAGAGGAGGTTTACCAGGATGTTGCCTGGTATGGAGGGAAGGTCTTATAAGGAAAGGCTGAGGGTCTTGAGGCTGTTTTCGTTAGAGAGAAGAAGGTTAAGAGATGACTTGATAGAGACACACAAGATGATCAGAGCATTAGATAGGGTGGACAGTGGGAGCCTTTTTCCTCGGATGGTGATGGCTAGCACGAGGGGACATAGCTTTAAATTGAGGGGTGATAGATATAGGACAGATGTCAGAGGTAGGTTCTTTACTCAGAGAGTAGTAAGGGCGTGGAATGCCCTGCCTGCAAAAATAGTAGACTCGCCAACTTTAAGGGCATTTAAATGGTCATTGGATAAACATATGGATGATAATGGAATAGTTTAGGTTAGATGGGCTTCAGATTGGTTTCACAGGTCGGTGCAACATCGAGGGCCGAAGGGCCTGTACTGCGCTGTAATGTTCTATGTTCTGTGTTCTATTCTCTTGCAATTAGAGGCAGTGTGCAAAATTCAGTGTGCTTTTTATTTGCAAACATACAAAGGAAGTTTTCACCATTGGACTTATAATTGCTGACTGCATCAAAAACACAGCTATTTAAAAAATGACTAGATGGGCTTTGGGAAGGAAGTAAAGGTTTTGCTGAGGGTCCCGAGGCAAATTGCCATAATACCAGGGATACGTGAACTCAGCAATGTGGAGACACTGAGTTGAGGAAATTCAATAGGCCTTTTCTAAATCACAAAGATCACAGAAACAAAGTTAATAGTAATTTTCAAGAGGAACTGGACAAATAAATCAAAGGGAAGCAATTGGAGGGGTATGGGGGAAATAGCTGCAGGAGTGGGATTAATTGACTGGCTGTTTCAGAGAAGTGGTGCATGCAAGGTGGACCTAATGATCCTTTTCTGTACTGTATGATTCTGTACTTCTAAAACTACACTGACAATAATGAAGGGCAAGTCAAACAACTTGATTTGAGAATACCAAGGAGTTTCATTTGTCAGGAAATGACTGAGAAATATTGTACAAAATTCTCTTTAAAATGATTGCCAAGGCTTAAGGGGTACAGTAATTAAACAAGACGACTGTAATTCTACAGGACTGGCAGTGATAGCGGACATTACAGATTTCCAAGTTCAAAGGGTGAATGTTTTGGATAGGAGGCAGCAGCAGTAAATTATACCTACCGTTGATTCAAGGAACAGAGGTCTATAAATCCAGTTTTAAAGTTTTGAAACTAAATGGCAAGCATCACATCTGTTTGAAAGGGTGTGACTTTCCCTCAGCTTTTCATCCATATCAAAATCTTCAGTAGAAATTGATTTGGCTGCTCCTTGCATCAATTCCTCTGAAGCCAAAACCACCTTGTACCAACTGATGCTAGAGTCCAGTTCAAGTACCATGAAAGGGAGATGGCAATGTCACTGAACTAGTCTCCAGAGAACTAAAATGAAACTGGAGATGCTGGAAAACAAACAAAAACGCTGGAGAAACTATTCTGAAGGGTCATTTGACTCAAAAATCTTAACTCTGCTTTCTCTCCACTGATGTTACCAGATCCGCCGAGTTTTTTTATCAGCAATTTGTTTGTGTTCCAGTAATCCAGAGATCTAGGGTAATGCTTTGGGTACATGGATTCGCAGCTCAGCATGGCAGCTCGTGGAATTTATTCGAAAGCCAGTCTCAGGACTAGTGATCATGACAACTCCAATCAATTGTTGGAAAAAAAGCCCATCTGGTTGATTAATATTCTTCACAGAAGGAAATCTAACATCTTCATCCCATGTGAAAGACTCCCAACACACAGCAATGTCGCTGATTTTTATCCGCCCTGTGAAATGGCCCTCAAGTCACTCAGGTCAAGGATAATTAAGCATGGACAACAAATGCAGGTCTGGTCAGAAATGTCCACATCCCAAGGAACAAATTAAACAAATTTGCAAAGCCACTGTAAATTCTCACTTCAACCAGCTTGATTTAACAATTTTGTTTTGGATTTCTGGTGATCCCAAAGAAAGTGGATTCTAGTTAGACAAACACTACATCCAGGCAGTGTTCCAGCAAAGTCCAACGCAAGCTGGAGGAACAACACCTCATTTTCTGCTTCGGGACCCTACAGCCCTCAGGACTGAATAGTGAGTTCAATAATTTTAGGGCCTAAACTCTCCCATGTTCCAGCCCCCCACCCCACACACCAGGCCTTGCTACCACATAGTAACAACAGGGGGTGTGTAATGGCAGGCTAACAGTCACTAACAGTCCCCATTAACAGTTGTCAATTCAACCTCCCAGCCTGATTGTTAGCAACTCCTTTATCTGTCCACCTGTGTCTCTCTGGGCTCTATCCTATCATTTACTCCCTACCGCACCCACCTCCCTATTTTCTGACATTTTCCCCGTACGGGCGTAACATGCTCAAATTAGCATGAAAATGGGAAAATTACGCCAAACGAGAGAGCACAACCTGTGAACAACTCTACTTCCTACATGGATGCCTCAGGAACCAGGTATTACCACGCAGTGTGAAGTACCCACTACCCATCAACAACCCACAAGCCCACAAAACGGCCGCAAGATGGTAAGGGTAATGATAAATGACGCACACAACTGGCTCCATAGATACAACAGAGAAATTATGCACAAAAAAAAAAATTTATTCCTGGAAGCCACCAATCAAGACTGGACAATGGACATGGAACAAGCCATCAACATCAGCCAACAGACCACAAGAGCCGAGAAAAGACAGTCCCTTCAGGACAAGCTAGCCACACTTACCCACAAAAACGACAACAGAACCTGGATAAAAAAACCTCTGACAGGATACTGACAGACCAGAGGACTGAACTATAACTGCAGGGACACCAACAAAACAGAATTCTTGCCACACTGAGGATCAACAACATCAATGAAGAAATACAAAAAACAATAAGACAGACAGTAATCCCGACACTAACCAGAAGGAGCAAACTTAACACCCTCAATATATTGGAAAGACAAGCCCTGGAAGGACTGAAGGAGGACAAGAACATCACAATACTACCCGCAGACAAAGGGCGCATGACCGTAATACTGAATAAAAGGGACTACATCTCCAAGGCACAGGCACTGCTCACTGACGAAAACACATACCGGCCAGTACAAACTGACCCAAAAGCGCAACTAGGCAACAAAATCCTCTACACGCTAAAAAGACTTAAACAGGCCAGACAAATCAACAAAGCAGACTTAAGAATGAAACCCGAAGGAACCAACACACCCCGATTCCACGGCCTCCCGAAAGTACCCCTTAGACCTATAGTCTCCCTACCAGGCACTCCATCGCACAGATTAGCCAAGGAACTACAAAGGAGACTCAGGCACCCAGTCAACAAGTCACCCCACTCCATCCACTCAGCCCAAGAATTCCTCAACTCCAAAGACATAAGGATAGATGACGAGGAGACCATGATATCATTTGATGTCACTGCCCTATTCACAGAAATAGACGTACTACTAGCAAGGGAAACAATGACAGCACTACTAGAACAAGAGCAAGAGCAAGAGCCCAGCAAAGCCATCTCCACAGACAACATGCACAAACTACTGGACCTATGCCTCACCACCCACTTCACTTTCAACAGCCAAACATACGAACAAATCAACAGGACACCCATGGGATCACCCATCTCCGGACTCATAGCAGAGGCAGTGATGCAAAGACTTGAAAGGACAGCCCTTCCGCTAATCCAACCAAAACTACGGATACACTACGTGGATGACACCTTTGCCATCATTAAACGGACCAAACTAGAGGAGACACACAAACTAATAAACAACACCATCAACGGAATAAAATTCAGAGAGGAGGAGAAGAACAACAAACAGTTCCCATTCTTGGACGTCACGGTAGAGCGCAAGACAAATGGGGAACTCCAAATGAAAGTACACAGAAAAGCCACACACACACAGACCAGGTACTGAACTTCAACAGTAACCATCCCAACAAACATAAACGAAGCTGTGTGCGAACACTATTTAAACGGGCAACACACTGGAGCAACACAGAACTACGCCAAGAGGATGAAGAATACCTCTTCCAGGTTTTCAAGGGTAACTGATATCCAAAAAAAAATAAATAAATAAATAAAAAAAACTGGGTCAGAAGATGCCTACACGAACTTCAGGAAGGTACCACGCACCCCGACACATTCATCACACTACCCTACATCAGGAACACGTCGGAACTAACCACAAGACTCCTACAACCACAGGCCATCAGAGTGGCACACAAGCCCACATCAACCCTACAACAACTGCTCACCCGAACTAAAGACCCACTCCGCACCATGGAGAGGACCAATGTCACCTGTAAGATCCCCTGCAGAGACAGTGAGAAACACTACATCGGACAAACAAGGAGGAAACTAACAAGGGTACACGAACATCAACTGGCTACAAAAAGACATGACCAATACTCACTCATCTCAATCTACATGGATAAGGAGAACCACCAATTCGACTGGGATAACACCAAAATCCTAGGACAAGCTAAGCAGAGACAGGCACGGGAATTCCTAGAAGCCTGGTACTCCACGAAGAAAGTCATCAATAAACACAGAAGTCGACCCCATATACACTCTACTACGAAGGAAAACCCGAAGTGAGGCAATCCAGCTCAACGGACTCCAGAGTTTAAAAACCAGGCGGGAAAACACACCGACGCTTCATCAGAGGCTGCACTGATTATATTACCCAGCAGAGTAACGAAATGTCTGCGGAACAACAAACCAGCTCGGCAAGCCAACCAACCTCAACACCCACAACCAGAGCTACAAGTCTACTCCAAAACCTTAGATGTTTTCCCAGCCACCATCAGCTCTGAGGAAGGGTCACCAGACCTGAAACGTTAACTGTTTTCTCCTGCACAGATGCTGCCAGACCTGCTGAGCTTTTCCAGCAACTTTGTTTTTGTTCCTGATTTACAGCATCCGCAGTTCTTTTGGTTTTTATTACTGCATCCAAGCAGCAAGGGTAAAAATTAAGACTGCGGCAAATTCCCACCCCTTACTTCTACAGGTAAAGAAATCCAAAGCTGTTAATGTTACTTACCATGAATTTAACTGAATAGGTGTAAAAAATATTAATTTTCTTTTCCTTGTCTTCAGCAGGAATCTCCATTGGAGGAGCTGTGTCACAATTAAGGTGTGAAGCATCTACATGATTGTAGCTGGAGATGACAAAAT